CTCCAAACCCTCGTCTCACAGATTGTTCGATCTTCGCCAACCCAAGTCTCCGTTCATTCTTCACTAACCCGCCACCTCAACCTTCCGGCACCACGCTCACGGGACAAAATCCCCAACAGCTACAACGCCCACCAACAACAACCAACCACACAACCACCAACAGCCTCGGCATCAGCCTTACCACCAGTTCTCCCTTACTGCTGGCCGTCCTCGCTCCTCCATCATCGGCCTATCTCTTTTCTTCTTTGGTGTGTCTCCTCTTCTATATTGTTTTTCCCCATTTTGGGACAAACAGGGGAAAAACGAAAAAAAAGTAACATCACATTAATATCGCCATCCCTATATTTTGGGGAAGGAGAATGGCTAGGAAGCAAGTGGTTGGCGATGGCGAACTGTCGAGCCTCGTCGAAATATCCAAAAACAAGCTTTACGACATTATGTCTCAAATGAAGGCACGTTTCTGATTCATCACGTACCAAACTTAATGCCTTTTTAAAGTTTTCTCTTTTCTTTTTAATCTCAAAAAATAATTGTTTGGGGGAGGGGAAAAAAATGAATTTCCTTGTATCCTATTTTGAAGTTGTGATATTTTCATTTTTGCTAGATCTTCATTTTTATTTTTTGGACTGACATTTTTTGCTTATACTTGAACATTAGTGCCGTGGGAACAAATTCTGGATGATATTATGGAAGACGTGGTCTTGGGAATTTGAAATAACGCTGTGTTTTTGTTGGTTATTTTTTGGACTGACGTTTTTTACTTAATCTATGTTGGTTAGTTTTAATGATTTATGATTTCTGTAAGTACCNNNTTTCTGTAAGTACCTCTGTTTAGTTTGAAAAAACATGAATGGATGTCTGTGTGTAGGCTCAGCTAGGAATCGTTTGTGGACAAGAGATTAGGAATGTGACAAGCTATGGGCCTTCAAGCACAGAGTACGCTAATTCTAGGTTTGTTAAGGGCTTGGCTCGAAATGGTTCTCTACCAAGGGGAGAAGATGACAAAGATGGCCATTATATATTTGAGCTTGGAGAAAATTTAACTTATTGCTGGTTTTTTAAATGACTTGGTTTTGGAAAGTTGAACCTACTGAGGTTCCTTGTTTAATATATAGTTCTTTTGCATGTGAAAATCACTCTCTCTAATTATTGTATTTCTATGATACATTTGCAGATAAAATACATAGCAAGATAGGTGAAGATAAATCCCTAAAGTAAAAAGGGATGGAGTCATTGCTTGAATTGGGAGTGTTGCCTCTGATCTATTTTCTAAATCGAAATTTTGTACACAAGTACTTTTGGTCTGGTCCTGGAGTGCTAAGATCGATACTTGAATAAACT